GGAGTGGGGATACTTTTTTCTCCCTCTAAATTGCAGGTAACAGTAGTGATGATGTATTGATACTTGATGATTGATTGCATTGTCTGCCGCAGTGCTTTTTTTTAATTTGGTTGATGCTATTTGATCATTTTTTAGGTCTGTCTCGCAGATTGGTAGACAGTGATTGTTATTAGTTTTGATTACTCTATTCCCAGCCATGATTTCATAAAAAGCAGAAATAGTCGTCTTTTTGCGATTGACTTCACCGTCTCATTTCTACATTGTGGAATGGTATTACTATTTTTTTCAGATGCATTCCTCTGACTTTTTATTCTTGCTAATTCGAACATCAATTTCATAGAAGAAACCATTGTGTAACATTCAGAGTTTAATTGGATTATTTTTAAATCAATTTTGATCCCATTTTTCTTTATTTAGATTCGATTGGTTTATTTGATTTTATATTTTCATTTAGAATTAACACATCAGGAGTGTTAGAAACAAGTCGAAAGGTTAGATAATTTTAATGATCGATTGATATCACGGATTATTATCACGGATTGTTATCGTAATTAGTTTTGGTACGGTAAATTTGAAAACAAATTATTTTAAGATAGTTAATGTATGTGAAAAATTAGTTTATATATTTATAAAAGTAGGGTGAGTGAAGCTCAAAGGAAAAGAATAAATAAAGCAATTTTCAAAATTTACAATAACAGATCGTTCAAAATTTACGCCAATTTCTGGATGCTGCACCTGGAATTCGTATGACAACAATACGTTATGCTTGAGTACTTACCATGCATAATATGGGGAAGAAAGTTGAATACAGATTGAGCTTTTTGTATCAGAATGGTATTATTCTACACTATCATAAATACATTCTTCTCTTTTTCAACAGTTATATACTATAAAAAGTGCGTTATCAACTATTCATTACACGTAGTTCCTCTTAGAGCAAATAATAAAAATAAAATAAATACAAAAGATAAACAATGTGTAAAAAAAATAATATTCATAGTTATTATAAGTTTTATTTTATTTACTTTTGGATGCAAGCAAGCGGGTTAAAAGAAATAAAATTAAAATATTTAATTGATTTGTGTATTTGTTAGAAAATTTCAATTAGATTTTTATATTTTAATAGGTCCGAGTTAGGTTCTATTTTTTAAAATATGTAATAATTAAGTTCTTTCTTTATATTAATAATATTAAATATATGTCTCGTATTAGTTCTAACTTTTTTTTTTAATTTTCAGGTCTCTTTTTATTTAAATCTCAATTTGGGCTATTTGTTATATTTAATTAAATTAAATTTAAATTTTATTTTTAAATAAAATAATTTAATTCTTTTCAAATTAAATAACATTCAAATTGTATATGAATATTATACTGTTATTTTTATTAAAATTGAAATTTTTTAAAATAATTTAAAAAAAATTAAGTTTATTTAAATTTATATTAAACTTTATTTAAAATTTATTTTAAAATTTTAAATATATTTGTATTAATATTTTATTACATTAAACTTTAATATTGTTATTTTGTTTGAATTTATATTTTAAGTAATTGTATATAAATTTATATAGATTTATAAATTTATATTTCAAATTTTTGTATAACATTATATATTAATAATTTCTATATAAATGTTAAAATTAGTTTAAAAATAACAACTTTATAAACTTAAATATAAAATTTTAAAAACAATTTTATAACAATTTAAAATAAATATATTTAAAATTTTAAAATAATATTTAAATAAATTTTAATATAAAATATAAATTTAAATAAATTTAATATTTTCAAAAAAATTAATAAAAGTATTATTATAAGTTTAATTTCGATTTTAAAAAGGACGAAATTATTAAATTTTAAGAGAATAAGATTAAATGGAATAAAATAATAAATAAAAAAAAGCAAATTTATCGGACAATAATTTAACAAGTCATTTGAAAAAATATATTAAAAAAATTACCAAGTTATAAACACATCTAACATTGTAAATATATTAATAACAGTGACCTAATTAACCAATAAAAGAATACAGAGATTTTCGAAAAAATATGATGATGAACGTTATATTTTAATAAGGAAAAAAATGAAAGCACCATGTAATTATCTGCGAGTCCATGTTAACAAAGGTGTAGACCGTTCCACCAAAGTGGTTTCTCTCCTTGTCTCGTAAACCCTGAACCCACAGCGATCGTTGCAGCATCTTCCTCCCTAAACCTACTGAGTTCGCCACGCAGAACCGACAACTAGGTCGTGACTCAGTTGTTTCACATTGAACTATGCAAGTCATCTCCAACGCTCGCCGAGTCTCTCGGTTCTTCCTTTCGCCTCATCTTCGAACCTCTGAAGCCCCTCACTCCACCGCGCTCTCTTCTTTCTCAGGTCATTAACGGAAATGTTTATTCAAATCCGTGTTTGAATCGAACGATTTAATGACACGTAGTTGTTGAATTAGACAGGGCTCGCGCAACACGATTACCGGCGAGTGACAACTGATCCGAGAAACTGGTTCTTGTCGAAGGAATTTTTCTCTTCAGGAGTGGATACCGTTGAAGGAGCTCCCTCAGGTTCTTCCTTCATTTAGCTGCTCTTTCAGATTTCTTTTTCTTATGTATTGTTTAAATTATTGAATTTTGAATGCAGGGGATGTGAAGGAATTATATGATAAAATGCTTGACTCTGTAAAAGTTAAACGATCAATGCCTCCAAATGCTTGGTTGTGGTCAATGATTGCAAATTGCAAACACCAGCACGATATTAAGCTTCTGTTCGACATTCTGCAGAACCTCCGCATATTTGTGAGCTTCTTTTCTGTCGCAATTTATTATTATTATTATTACTATTGTTATTTATGGTGATGATTCTTAATCTAATTTGTAAACAGAGGTTGTCAAATCTTCGAATTCATGACGACTTTAATTGCAATCTCTGTCGTGAAGTTACCAAGGCGTGTGTTCATGCAGGAGCTCTTGATTTTGGTATGTGGAATTTACTGGTGCCTCAACTTGTGTTTTTTCGTTTATGGAACTTTGAAGATATGATATTGAGGCAACGCGGCTAAAATTCGTGTACAGGAAAGAAGACTCTGTGGAAGCATAATGTCTATGGATTGACCCCGCATATTGCATCTGCTCACTCTTTACTGGTATTGTTGGCATATTACTGTTCGAAATTCTCCGATTATGTTTCCGGTTCGCAGTTTGTAAGTTAGTTTCAATTTGCTTTAGCTGTATGCCAAGGACCACAATGATACTAAACTGTTGGTGGAAGTAATGAAACTTCTGAAGAAGAATGATTTACCATTGCAACCAGGGACAGCAGATATAGTTTTCAGGTATATTGAAATTCTTAAACAAATTTCTCACTTTCGTTTTTGTGGTGTAGAGTAGTCTTTTAAATTTGGATTTGGATTTTACCTCCAAAACCAGTAACTAGCATTTAGTACAAATATAATTATTCTCTTAGTTGCTGGCATACTTCTTTCAAACCCATTCCTGTTGTTAGTCGGGCAAACCAGTATATTGGTTGTATGAAGTCAACTAATCCCTGTTTATGTGTTGGAGACAACAAGTCTGAAAATACAGTTGTTTTGTATAAATTTCTAAGAAAACAAATGGAGGGTGCATTATAACTAGTATTTGGTACCCCAAACTTTTCTTTGAAGCAAAAAGTGACGCAATTTAGGACAAGAAGGGAGAACACAGCCTCTTTTCAAACTATCAACGTTGTCTTTAGTATTTTGATATGACATTAAATCATATAACTAAAAAAAACTTATATTGCCCCCAATTGAGTTAAGCCCTCTTGTTATGATGCTTTCATTCTCTTGCACATATGCCTCTAACCTGTTACCTGGGTTGATCATTTGCAGCATTTGTTACAATACAGATGACTGGGTGTTGATTAGTAAGTATGCACAAAGGTTTGTCAAGGCTGGTGTAAAACTAAGACAAACCTCATTTGAAACATGGATGAAATTTGCTGCCAAAAGAGGTATGAATATTTTGAATTCTTTTTTTCACACTTTTTTTAGCTTTATTCAATAGCAGTTTGTCAATGTGGATTTCTTTATTAAACATTTGTTAACAAATATACAAATTTATGGAGATTTATAAATTGGCTAGTTTCTTAGCTTTCATGTTCTCTTATGGTGGCAAAACTGTTTTTTCTTAGTCCCAAAAAATTGGAAAGAAGCCCAAAAGATAGACTGCATAGACTAGGTTGCGAATGTTATTTCATCAAATGAGAAAATTAATGTTACAAGCTGGGACTACATAGACTAGGTTGTTGCACTTGAATTGGTCTTGCACATAAGCGCCCTCTGGTTAGTGTTGTAAAACCTATGCCTTATATCACAAAAGGCTGTTTCTGAAGATTACGAAAGAACGTTGCTTTCTGAATGTTAATCCATCCCGAGTCAAATCCTTGTCTGCAAGGATCGGATGTGGATTCTGTGTAAACGTTTTTTACCAACACCACAAGGTGCAGATGCAAACTGCAAGGTTCTTCCGCAAGTCAAGGAGTTTGCTCCCAGCGCTCTGTTTTTTTTTTTTATTTGTTGAAACCGTTTTTGACCAGCTCCTCATATGGGATTCTTCCTCTAATCATGGGTTGTGGGATGGTTCACAAACTCTATAAATAGAGGCTTGTGCTCACCTCTAATAGACACATTTTTCTCTCATTCTCCTTTTTCTCTAAATTTCTTCTTTCTCTCTTTTCTTTCTTATAATATCCTGTGTTTCTTATTTTACTCATTGAGAGTTCCTTACTAATTCTGATATCCTCGGAAATTTTTGGAAAGTTCCTGTTGTATCCTGGGAGGCTTGCTCAACACACTACGGATAAGTCCTTAAGGATATTGTATCTACACGCCTCGGGAAATCTTTGTTCATAGTTTTTTTTTTGTCAACATTTTTTAAGGCATAGGTTTTACAACAATAACTTGATAGGTTTATCGAGGAGGAGATCCACTGGAGAGACACAACACCAATGAGACCTGAGTCCAACCACATGAGGCATAGGTTTTAAGGCAATGGGTTTATGGGTCTTCACCTTTATATGGTGTTTCACTTTCTCATTTCTACCTAATGTGAAACTTAAACTCACTTGGATTCCCAACCACGAGTATCCCTTCATACCATCGTTCATCTTTAATGGGACACGTTTACCTAGAACTCTTACTTGGAAAACTTTCGATACAGGGATTATCGTACTCGTTGAGTTAGTCACCAAGACTAACTATCGGCTTTGATATCACTTGACATCATATGAAATAGCACGACAATAGATATAACACCACAACTTCATAGAAAAACACCATGACCTCATAAAACAACACGACATCATATAACACCATGACATCGTATAAAAATACTACGACTTCATATGCAACATAACAACATCTTATAAAAATGCTATGACTTCCTATAAATCACCACGACAACATATAAAAATGCCACAGTTTCATATACAATATCACAACATCATATAAAAATATTACGACTTCCTATAAAATACCAATACAACATATAAAAATACCTCAGCACTCATTCAAAACAACCCTCTCAATCACACTCAACAGCTCGGTACATGTAAAGCACATCATGACAATTCCATACAACTCGGTCATAACCAAAAATAGTCATGACAACACACCCAATAACATAGCAATAATCCGAAATCACACTCAAACTGAGCTTTATATGCTTTGAGCGTTATAATCAACTGAGTGTGTTTATATGCTTGGGTCTTCTTGGAGACACTAAGACTTTTAGAATGGTCCAAATAGAATAGTCCAAAATAAAATTATGCTAAGGGAAAATTATTTTGTCTCGACTGTGTCTATATCTTTTTCAAAACTCCTAGGTTCATTTGTATTAATGACCTCTTCAAGTACGTAAAGTAGTATTATGATATTTCAATATATATTAGCTTTCTAAAATCATTTCTGCCCATACCAATTCAGTCATATATTTATTTCATTTACATTGAAGGGGACACCAAGTCATTGTGGACAATAGAAAAGTTGAGATCTGAAACAATGAAGCAGCACACATTGGCGACTGGGTTTTCTTGTGCCAAGGTAGCAAATCTATCTACACTATTGTCTTATTTGACAATTAATTTTGATTGTATTGCAGTGACTGAGTTTATTGTGCTCTGCAAAACCATACCATATTGCACAAAAGCTATTTTATATTTTTGGCATGTTTTTTGTATATCAGTGTAAGTCTGTTTATTTATACTTCTACAGGGTCTTCTATTGGAACGTAAACCCAGTGATGCAGTTGCTGTCATTCAAGTTCTAAATCAGGTATGGACTCTATGATATTAACATAAATTGTTGCTAAAATTATAGCTTTTCAGAAAGGAACTTTAGAATCAAATTAGTCCCAATAACACGGCAGTGAAGAAACTATATCCGATTATATTTGGTTAAATGTTTTTTGTTGCTTGATTTTTGTGTGACATAACGCTTCAATATTGTTGACGATTAACTTCATGATTGAATTGAGTCGGTATGACCTGGATGTGAGGCATTAAATTACTTTTTATGATGTTAATCCTTCACAGTTCACCTTGTGTTTGTTTTGGTGACGGATGTATTGATTAGAATGACTGTTGGCATGCTGAGTGGACGTTCATATTTGTCTTTGCTTTGTTCTGCATTAAAATAACTCGTTCTTTTGACTCAACTATTGCTAGACATTGTCTGATAAAGGAAAGTCAGGCATCAAGGATGAACTTCAGAAGCTTGTATCTGAGTGGCCTTTAGAAGTTATTAAGCACCAAAAAGATGAGGACAGAAAGGTATTATAGCAAAACACTATTGTTGACATTTTGGTTCACTTGCGTTGCTACTATTCTGAAATTTGTTTTATTCTCTTGTTGGCTTTTCTGACAGGCATTAGCAGCCTCTTTGAAGTCTGATATCCTTATCATGGTTAGTGAGTTGCTGAGCATGGGTGTTAAGGCAAATGTAAGTTTGGAAGACCTAGACAGGAAGGAAGATATTCCACAATAGCATTTAGTTCAGAATTTGATGACATTGTATTTCAGAATGTGCTTATTCGTGGAGTATCTCCTTCCGAGGATGCTTCCTAGCACAGCATATAGATAAGGAGTCTGCAATCATAGGAAATGTTGATTATTAAATTAAAATTATTACTTTGCTTCCGTTGTTACCATTTCTTATTTTACGTCTCGGAGTACTTGAGTTTTTGGTAGCATATTAGTGGGATTTTGTTATTGTCCGATAACCGAAATTTGGATATCAGAAGATTATGTCGAAACAAAAATAATGTGGCATGTGTCCTCTACTCCATGAACGGCAAGCAATTGGTTTGTTTTTACCTTGAGTGACAGTCTCCCATTTTAAATAAAATTCTGTGTACGAACATAAAGTAAACAAACAATTTACTCGCATGCGATCAAGTAGGCAATAGAGGTGACCACGAGCTTGTATTCACGTTTCATTTGGTTGATAATTTGGGTTAAATAATTCCTGAAAAGAAAGAAAAGAAAATTATGTAGGTGCGTGTGCAATTGGTTCAAAAGAAATCAGGAGACATTTTTTTTTTGTAAAAAAAGTTGTGATATTCCATTAAATTTTATTATATTCAATTCACATTTTTTTTGAATTTTTTAGAAGACAATGAAATCTGGTCATATTTAATTCATATTTTAAAACTCTACATATTTCATTTTTATTTAAAATTGTCTCACTTTTCTACAATAAACTTTTTGTTATTGTTTATTATGTTGGATTATTATTACTATTATTATTATTTAGCCTTTTTATCCTTTTTATAATTTGACTTTTTACATGATTATACTTTTAGGCCTATCGAGTTTTTAAATGTTTTTCATAAATCATGATTGTAACATGATCCAGATTCAATGGTTAAAAAATACAGTTACTATAAATTTTATTAAACAACAAACAAGAAAAAAATAGTAATGACGTAATATTCATTTTCTTATAAATTACATAGAAAATGCTTACATGGATTATATCATTTTAATAATATTGTATAATTAAGAACGTAAAATTGTACATGTCTATTCAATTTGTATTTCATTTCACTTTTTTTTTATTATTGAATTAACAGGTACAACAATATTAATACAAAAAAATCTCGTTATTTTTTTATTATAATGTAGGTTGGTTGATAAAAATAGAAGGGTTAAATATGTTTTTAGTCCCTCAACTGTTAAAAAGTTTTTGGGTTTAATTCCTCTTCCAAAGTTTGCTTCATTTTCATCCTTCTCCTCAATGAAACTATAACTTTTAGTCTTCCATAACCAACGACGTTAATTTTTTTTCTGACATGGCTAACAATATGCCAAGGCCTATTCTAATTTTGTTTCTGACTATAATTAAAATAAAAAGAAAAAACATTAAATTGAAGGGTCAAAATTGGAATCCCTTTTCTTCTTCCTTCAAGGGTTTATCTTTTGTGAGCACTCTTTTCTTCTCCGTCTTCAACCAGTCATGGCTTCACCTGTTTGGAAAAAAAAGAAGAATCGAAGAAAATTACGTTGTGCGAACGAATCAATGAAAAGAGGAAATTAAAAGAGGAAGAAAGAGATGAATTGTGTGTAAAGAAGATAAACCTGAAGAAGCTGAAGAAGATAAATTGTTTGACAGACTATGATTTTTTCAAGTTCCTATAAATAAGAATAGGTGTAACTGCTTAGAAACTAAATATTTTTTGTTGGGTATGGTCACCAGGTTTTAACAAAAACTGATGTGTTTGCTGCAAAATCATGCACCCTCCATGACAACAATCACAAGGAGGTGAAGGACTACGAATTTATTTGTCTCTAGTTTCTTTAGATCCCGCCTTTCCCTTGAGGAGCCTAGATCAAGCATTGGCAATCTCCATGAATCTCCAACTGAAAGTGCCAGTTCTCGGAAAATTTGTCCTACTGCTGCAGTAATAAAAAGGGAGAGTGATTGCACACAATTTTTCAAGTTCAAATTCAGGTTCAACTTCTCTACACACAATTCATCTCTCTCTTTCTCTTTTAATTTCTCCTTTTCAATGATTCGCTCACACAACGTAGTTTCCTTCAATTCTTCTTTGTTTCCCAAACACGTTAAACGTTGCACATATGACGCCATGGCTAGTTGAAGATGGAGAAGAAAAGAATGTCCGCAGAAGATAAACCCTTACACGAAGAACAAAATTAATTCCAATTTTGACCCTCCAATTTAATGTTTTTTCTTTTAATTTTAATTATATTCAAAAATAAAATTAGAATAGACCTTTCGCGTACACCATTAGTCATCATGTAAAAAAAAATTAACGCCTTAGTTATGAAGGACTAAAAATTATAATTTCATTAAGAAAAATAATGAAAAATGAAGCCAAACTTTGAAAAGGGACTAAACCCAAAAACGCTTTATAGTTGAGGGACTAAAAACATATTTAACCAAAATAAAAAAAAATACAAATAATAAAAGGTAAAAAGACGTGTATATAAAAAAGCCAAATAACGGTTAACAAACTAATCTCACTATTCATTAGTTCTACTATATTTTATTTTTTTAACAGGAGAATTAAATCTACAACATTTTTTACTTTTTTGTTATATAATTTTTTAAATCAATCTTATATCTTTTAAATGTTAATAAAAAAAGTTGAATTTATATATATAATTTTTTTCTATATCATGAAAACAAAAAATTGAGTTAATGAAGATAAAAATACAAACGGTAAAAGAGATAAAAGAAATATACAGAAAAACTAGGCACAAAAACTCATCATCATTATTAATTCATAAGTATAGTATTATTATATTACTGTCCGATCTATTAGACTTTTTAGAAAATATAAACATATCCTTCTTCACTTAATGTTTTCTATGTGTATAACCTCTTAAAAAATCTGGCTAATTGCAGAGAATATGGTTTATGTAAAAAAAAAATTAATACTTCAGAAAAACATAATAATCCATGTGACACATCAATATTTGTTTAAAATCTGTTGTAAAAAATTTTTTGTGTCCACATGTGTCAAAGAACTATTCAAATAAGCTTTAAAAGAATATTATAAATAAAAAAATAAACAAAATTACTTTGTAGCCTTTGAATAAATAAGCATTGTAAATATCTGTATATATTTAAACATTATTTAAAAAAAAACAATTTAGTTTTTTACTCAAATAAAGTGACTTTTATAAAAAATATTTTCAAATAATAACAAAATATTCATATTTTAACTTTTTAAAATGGATTTATTTAACCTACTAGTTGTCCTGAAATAGCAAAACTTGCTATAGTATTGAATCATGCTTCTGTTTCACTTCCCAAAACAAAATCTTCCACAATTGCTTCATTTTCTGCTACAAATTTCTAATGCTCCACCTTATAAGAAAGATAACACAAAGCAAAACATATTAAATGTCTGTGTGTCCATCACATGCTTTGCAATGCTTTGAGACAACGAATCACTTTTCTTCTTTATCTAACACCCTTATGCCTTCCTTCTTAGGCCAAAAGTAACTTAAATTGTTCTCCAATTTCTTCACCAAGAATAAAAATAAAAAATAAAATCAAACACCATAGTAATTGTTTTTTGGTGGTGATGTTCATCACAATCACACTAATCATGATCTATATCAGGTTAGCTCCTTCTGTGACAAGGTACAAAAATCAAACACCATGTGATCTAACGCAATTGTTTTGATCCTACAAATCCATAATTTCTCTTTTAATCTTTTCAACCACACAGTTTCCATTGTTTTGCACCAAAGCTGTGATTGCCAATATCAATTTCCCATTATTAACAGTCACATTTGCAGCCAAAATCTCTGCTTGGTGATTGCAAAACACCTTCAAAATTTGTGTCACCAAACCTGGTCGAGGCATCCATTGAATACCAAAGAATGCAACATTATCAGAAACAGTAACCACGAGTGAAGAATTTCTATTATTGTTACCACATTCAACCGTTGATCCTTCCACACCTTTCATGGTCTCCTTCAACTTCTTCAACTCCTCCAATCTCTGCTTCTTCTTCTCAAGCTCCTTTATGTACCCAATTGTCTCGTTTATTATCACTTCTCTTGTAGCCTATGATTCCCGCATAACAAAGAAAAGGGTCATTCAAAAAACTCACTGACATTAAAATAAACGGGTGGAACAAAAAACATGAAATGTGGACACATAATGTAGAAACCCCATTTTACCAAAACCCCCAAAAACCATGAAATCGACAAGACATGGAATTTTGGATGATGATTGATGAACCTGAGGTAAGAGACCAGGGACAGAGGTTTGAAGCTGAGTGAACATTTGAGTCATCTTGGACCTTCTTTCACGTTCCATGTTAACGCTCCCACAATTGGAGTGACTCGGTCTCTTAACACGCTTTCTGCTGGTGGTGTTAGCAGTTGCTTCGGCAATGGTCGAAGGGTGAAGAAAAGAAGAAGAAGAAGGTGGGATTTGAGAGAATGGTGGCATGGTAGAGTGAGTTTCGGTTTCCTTTTTCGTAGTGTGACCTTGCATCTTGGTCAATAATATACATCATATACTTTATTTAATTATCTCTCTTCTAGCTATATACCAAGCAGTTTTGATTTGTTCTGTTTTGTTTTGTATCGTATCGTATTGTATTTCTCGAGTGAAATTGAGAAAAAGAAAAAGCTGGGGTGGTTAAGATCAATCATTGGTTTGATTTGAATCGATCTGCTAGTACGTACCTGCTTGCAGAAAAAGAAAAGGCTTCATCTTGAAAGATATATAATATATGCACTATGATTTTGTGTATTTTCAGCCTTATCTAATTTCTATTATATTGTTTATTGTCTTTATCTATGGCCACTCTAGAAGGAATTTTGGTGAAATGAAGTAAACTAATTGAGGAAAGGGGATTGACGGTGGCATCCTATGATTGTAAAAGTGTTGGAATTTGTGTAGTTGGTAACAGAAATGGTAACATTTGGAAGAAAAATAGGTAGCGGTAATTGATTAGATTCCCGCGGGCATGTGTGATCGTGACACCTTTCTGTATCATGATCATGCAGAGTAACCGTATGAGTGGAAAAAAGCAGCAGAGAGAGACTGAAATAACAGACTTATTGGTGTGCAGAGGTTGGACCCCACAAAGTGATGAACAATAAAAGAGAAAAGAGAAGTTGTTTTGGAGTGGGAGTCAAGAAAACAGAGAAGAACAGTCATGATTTATTATTCATTTGTTCGATAAACTAGTGTCTCGTACATTATTATTCAACACATATTACAATAATAACTTAATATATTCTGATAAACATGAACTAGGATAATGAATAAGACTTGGTTTAATTGTTGA